TTTCTTTGTCATCATGCAGAACGTATCATATTAAAAATGATTACGTTTTAGGTGTCATTTTTCTGTTGGCATGATAAAAGTAACGTAATGCACACATGCATTTTAAAACAGTTTTCCTGGATTTAAATGTTAATATACCTTGTTAGTTTGTTGTTGTTGGGAGTAATTTGAGGGACTAGAGTATCTTCACCACCATTACACAGGCCTGTAGCTATGGTCGGAATATATCACTCTGGAACCTGCCTGCTTCAGAGTGCATATCAAAGATTCCAACGCGTGCTTCTGTACAGGACATGTTATTTGACAACAATCAAGTGAGTAGATGATTACTTTTATCTCTTGAGATGTTTTATTGACAACAATCTAGAAGCTTGACAATAGAAAAAGAATGGTGTATTGAGTATTGACTTGGGGTTAGAAGCGAGTAACTATGTTGACCTCTTGTTATCATAGTTACTCATACGAGTTAACTTTCTTCAGTGTTGAATATTAAAAGCTAAGGTGAATGGTTAGCAACATGTCTGGTTGCTTGACAAGCACCCAAATGTTTTCTTGACTAGGAGATAAGGCGGCAACCCATGTGGATATTTGCCCAAATCCCACCTTATTCTTGTCAGCAAGCGTCGATTTATGCCAACCATCTGCATTCCATGCTGAAGAAAGTTGGTCCACTTGGACAACCTTGTTAACATGAGTTTATTAGAACTGATGATAGAATTGATTTTATTGCTTTTTTTTTCAATATCTTTGGCCTGACTTGGAGGTGAATTTTCTTTCAAATACTAAATAGTAGTTTACTTGGTTATGATATGTATGGGAAAGCTTTTAATGCTTTATATCCAACATATTATCACTTTACTAGTGTATGTTGTGGTGTGTGACTTCTTTTGCATTTGCTGTTAACTTCTGGTGAACAATGACTTGTTGGTGCTGATAATATGTACAAGTTCTCACTGCATCAATAGCTCTTCTATTCTGTTAATCTTTGCATATCCGTGTCAGATATTGGCAATCGGTGCGGATCCTCTACTTAATCGATTTGACATGAACGGTGTGATCCTTTCACAAATACAGTGCGCTCCTCCGTCATCCTTCTCTATCTCCTTGCATCCATCAGGGGTATTGTCTCGATTAATCTTCTATTGTTAACATTTTCAGTCACTATACATTTTGAGGTTATTGACTTGTCGCTGAAGCTCTCCTTATATCCATGTCAGATATTGTCGTGATTAATCTTAATCGGTACATTTTATTTGTCTCAGATCATGGCAGCGCTGGAGGTTATGGTTCTCTTGTGGATGTTATCTCCCAGTTTGGAAGTCACATGTGCACGTTTCGTTGCCGAAGTCTTTAACTGGAGTTGTTTGGTGTATTTTGTCTTGAAGAATATTTGTAGGCTGCGGTTCTTTCGTTAATGGGAGAAGTTTTCCTCACTGCGCATTTTATGGACCGGAGAAGTTTACGTTTAATGGAAAGTTATGAATTATTCTTGCCTTCAATTTTTGTGGATTTAGTTAATGGTAAAATGCATATTTTAACATACGTCTTTTTTGTTGGTAGGAAAAAGTTTGTATGAGTTGGGTTTTGAGAATTATTATAAGTCAAGATAGGGTTTACAAAAATATTTACAAATATTCCATCAACAAATTCTTACATTAACAATAAAATTTGAATTTATGATAATATTAAGAGACATTATTTTAGATACTGAATCCAGCTAACTATACCCTCCTAAAAAAGAAATCCAGATAACGAGCTCAAAACAAGGAAATTATGAATGCAATTTTCATCTGATGTGAAGAACGAAAACAAAAGCCTCACGTCACTGAAGGGATTGGCATGTGAATAGTACAATGTGCTTATTCAAAACTCTTCCAATAAGCTATCAACCCAAAAATCTTGATTAATGACTTTCTTAACTATTCCTTTTAGTCTCTCTTTTCTTCTTCTCGCAAGGTTAATGTAATGCAAAGAAACGGGGAAAATAGCATCAATGCAAGCCGATTCCCCCCCAAGCCCACCAAAAAAAAAAAAGAAGACTCCTTCACAACGATGCGAACGATGGCAATTAACAAAATCAATATGGTGCATGCAACAATGTCCTCCATGTATCACGATTATAGAGAAGTGCTCTGGTATCAAAATTCCAGAAAGTTTTATTCAACATAACGTGGACGCAACATGTACGGGAGGCATTTCCAGATCATGGGTATCTAACCTAGACCATTTACAATTTTGTAATCAGTTACTAACATAAGCCAGTTTCACACCGCTACATTGGCATCTATCATTGTACATGGATTAGCATGAAACAACATCAAGAAAATGTCACTTGGAGACGCTCAGCCCATGGCAACCACTATCAGTATCAAGGCAGAAAACGTTTCCCGTAGAAAAAATAGGCAGCCACATATCTACAACAGCCTGAAGAACTCTTCCACTTGCATGGTTGATGATGCAATGCCAGCTTAGTCAATTTTCTTTTTCCTATTCATCAAGTCATGGTAGTATAACAACACGCACATAGGTTGGCCAAGAATACTGAATATGAACCAAAAAATCATATTCCCAACCTGGCATGAAGAAAATAAATCACTTCCAGAATATGAAGCAACACTTTTCTTTTTTTCTTTTTTTTTTTGGGTCAAATCAAATCAGGAGGGTTTGAATGATTACTATTTATATTTTATATACTCTTACCACCTAAGCTAGTCTCATAGCTAAATAATGACGTAACATTGACAGAATGAAATCATCACATGGGGTATCAAAGGGGCATACCATTGAGCTTCTGAATTTGTTCTGAAGGTAATTCGTAATCAAGACCAACGGAACCTAGAAAAAGCAGCAGCACAATCATGATTATAATTATTATTTCAAGTGAACCGACTGCAATTCATTCACAGAATTGTTTTTTTTTTTGGCCACTCACAGATTTTGAGTTACCAACAGTAAATAACTAAGAATGAATTCAAACTCAACAGAACAACTAACAATTACAGCATCTGGTTTTCTTGGTCTTGTGAATTACTGTAAGAAGGCACTTAAATTTAACGGTAGCAGCGTCAAGGCCCCAAAATAAAAGGATGGTTATATACCTGAAACATGATTCCAATAAAAGCCCACAGCTTAAAAATGTGGCAAGGAACGGCAATGCACAGCTGCACTCAGATGAACAGAAAGCATGAATAAAATTACAGTCAGCTTTCTTTAAAAGAAAAATTGTCAAGTTAAACAGATTTGTGCATGTACTTCAATTGATAGGAACCACATTAAGTCATTAACTAGTGGCAGGCTTCATCAAATATGACCATAAAAAGTGCACGAAAATGAGTCATGAGTCAAGTCGGACAACGATTCACATCACAAGTGACTCTACACATGTTTCAATAAAGCTTGAGAAAATGTTCATGCCAATATCATGAATGCACAATGAGGATTGAGGTGTGATTCCTTCAACGGAACCAGGAATTTTGAGCTGCCCATCATATCAGTCGACCACATTAAATTTTACCAGACGCCTTTACCCCTTCTTGAATATTTTTTATGCATTTTAAACCCAAATTTGTAAAACTATAATAATATAAAAATTAGTGAAGATAGCATAATGCCATGTCAGAATCCAACCGGGACAGGTTTAACACCTATATGATACACACAAGCCAAGCAACAGGTCAGGTACTTGGTTTTGCTTAGTCTTGGCTTAGCTCTTAAGGCCCTTTGACATTTGTGGTTAGATCTGTGATGCTGGCTAACAGGCTAAAGTCATTGGCAAATTTATAGTTTTAAACTTTTAATCGTCTCCCCCAAACCCTGTCAAAGGACATGGATCAAAGAACATCTGGGATGAAGTTAAACAAGCTCTAGCCAACTTTTTATAAAGCAGCCATACTATCAAAATACATTATAATGTAATAAGAGGGAAACGGGTTGATAGAGGATAAACCACACACCTCATGGAACACAGCAGATACCAGGAAGGCGATTAAAACAGCAACACCCTGTACAGTAATGAAGCAAAAAGTTACAAGGAATCTAGAACTCAGAAAAAAGCATGTCAACGTTATAAATCCAAATTTCAGCCAAGAAGAAATAACTCACATTCAGGCCAAAAGAAAAAGAACTCAGTTTAATATTTATAACAGATCTAAAAACAGAAAAAGAAAAGACAGATAAGTTATAAATTAACTCGATACCTCTCCTAAGCTTGTTTAATCACACGAGTCTACAAGCATATGCATATTTATGTTTGAGCATGCAAGAGTCAATACTTGAAACTACAAACAAAGGCTAACCTTGAATATTGACTCTCAATTTAAAACCCCCACCAAAGAACTTAAAAAACATATTTGGTTTTGCTATGAACAATTCAATGGATCAATTAAGATATAGAACTAAATATACAAGAATAAAGATTATGAAATATGTTGCATTTTGCATGTCCTCATGCTAGCTCCCAAGCTTTCCCGAGTAAATCCAGTCCTTGTTCTCCCTGCATAAGTACTCAAGCCTTTTCTAATAATCATATGACATAATGATGCTTCTTACTATGAGGTGATACAATAAAGCAAATAAAAATTCAGGAGCTGCACAACTAAGAAGTTTGTAAACCCTTTATCATACCGTGCAGAGATTGCAATTTAATATTTGAAACTATCTTCCAGAGGGTTTTTTTTTTATTTTTTTAATAAAGGTAGCCCCTATCTTGAGCTGTGAGTTCCAGAGAGATGCCAACATGACAAGTCAACAGCAGCCAAAATTGCTTTTATAAGAAACTCTTGATTATTGAAGGTACTAATTGTAAAGTAGCCCAAGAACCTTAAATTATACCACCTTCCTTCTGATGGGGATGGGCTTAGCCCTCAACTGCAGACATATTCTAGGAGTTTAAAGATGAAAAGAGACTGGCATTTGCAGATGTGTACTAGGAAAAGTAGGAAGAAGAAAAGGGTTCCAAGTGAGACTGTAGAGAGAAAATGAGGAATTTCATACCTCTGGCCGTTAGAAAGAGAGAGGATTTGGGAATATAGTCAAAGGTACAGGACCAGAGGGAGGTAAGAAGATTTTGAGTGAATTTCTATTGGATAGCCTATGCCTTCGATTGCATAGGAACCTTGGCTTATTCTTTATTTTCCTCTTGCTATTGCTGATCCTGTAGCTAACCCTGTAAGACTTATACTCTACCAGGATTTTATACGAATAAACAATATAATTCGGAAGTTGGACTTTGCTTTCCCAATGCCATGTGGTAAAAACGGTGGCAATAGCAAATATCCATGCATGTCATTTATCATTTATCAGAAGTCATATCTTTGCAGTCTGCTTTGTTTTCGATTTGTTTTGCATCATTCAATCAGTATGTAATGTGCCTCCTATTAAGTTATTGTACAATGCAACACATTTTCCTTTTTCAAAATGTTCACCATCCTTTTCTTTCAACAAATGAAATATAAATCAAATTAATTGTTGCAATGGAAGGAAAGGAAAGAAGTTCCTCAAAACAAACAGGCAACAGTAGGCTTCAATGTTTCACCACCCTCACCCAAACAAAAAGAAGAGATAGGCTAAAAGATAGAAGATAGCCATATAAGTGATGAACACAGTCAGATGATAAGACAAGCAATGTGCTTGACCACCAGTCGTTCACACTCCAGTTAGTGAGACAGATTCTTTATTGCTCAAAGTACCTTGGGTATACCATTCCTTAAGCATGGAAAATATAAGTGGCGGACCATCCATTTGTGCACAGGCTGTAATGGAAAAGAATAAAGTCAGTTATATAGTGATAGATTAAAAGAATACTTGTAAACCGCACATATGTTACTCAAAGTTCTGGAACTATTTGTTAAGGATGTAGTAAAACTCAAGCCAACCATAGATATTGCCGACAGTTATTTGGGTGCTCCAAAATACCTCATAGGCAAGCATCACACACTATTCTAGTTTACTTTTTTGGAGGCTATATGAAATTCAAACTGAACACTTTCATTATAGTTGCCGTATGCCATAGAATCAGTCCATATATAGTTTATACTGTAGTAAGTTCTCTCTTCATTGGGGTCTTACACAAATAGGAAAGATTTAAAACTTTAATTGCGAAGTAGAATTTTCACAGTTTTGCCAACTTACAAAACAACATAACACTTTTAATGACTAATGGATATATCAATACATTTAAGGGCTCAATTAAGCTCTGTCTCCTAAAGACCACTATGTTTACACTAGGAACCGCCATGAAAGTAGACAAAATTCAAACAATGATTTTCAAAAATTTGAGGAGTTTCACCGAGATCAAACCTAATATCACACCAACAAATTATGCTGCATGAAAACTTCAAAGTTCAACGTAAGTAAACAAATAGAAATGGAACCGAACAAAAAAAAAATGAGAACCAAAGCAAATGACCCAAGTGAAAATAAAAAATCAACTCATCCGATTCCGTCACCAAAATAAAGTCTGAACAAGTAGACATACCATGTTCCACATTCTCCAGTACTGATGACATCAGCAGCATAAATGCACCACGGACAAAAAAGGTCAGAAATTCAATTCATGAAAATCTGGTAAACAAACAACCCAGAAATATGCCAGGACAAACAACTACCTCTTCAACAGTTTTTGCATTCCACCAATCTTTATAAAACTCACGGTCACCAAACCGAAGAAGCTCAGCAAGTATATTTAGCCTACATTGAAGTAGTGCCTCTTAGCATAGACCGTCCCAAAAATAAATCATATCTAAAATATCAAAGCTGATCTTTCAGATTTAATAGCTTTAAATGAACTATCCCCCACAAACAATCTCATCCATACTTTGCTCCCTGTCACTCCGTATTTTCAAATATTTAGTTAACGGAGCCATAGGTAGAGAAACAAAAAGAATCCACAGAATTCATTATACATCTTGAGAAGCATATCTCTTAGATTGCAATAATCACCACAAGTACATGTATCAGAATCAACTGGAAATCCCCATCAACACTGCAGTTACTCATGAAGGTATATCGTTAGGTGGAAATTATTTGTCTGTAAATAGACACGCTAAGCTGAAAGATAGATGAAGGACGTAGTGCACACCAGAGGTGAAAAAAGCAGTAGAACATGCAGAGCCACACATATAAATTTGGAACAGAAAGCTTTAGAACTCTTTCAAGGGCATAAAGGAGGTTTCCCTTCAAAGGATGTTCTGAGTTTTGGACAATAGGATTAATATACTGCAAAAACAGATGATCATATAGACATTAGAATATATCAAAAAATACAAAAAGGAAAATTTGAGGAAATTATCAGAGGTAGACAAGAACATTTAACACATGAATAACTGCTGCTTACTTGTTCTATTATAAATCCCATAACTCCAGTAAATATTATCAGCTTCATAAGTTGACGAAACACCCATCCTTTTCGAATATATGGTGTGCGGGGATAGCTTGGCTATATCAGAAAGCATCAAGTTGACAAAAAGAGAATGCATTAAACAAGTGAGTGATAGAGATGTCATAATTGTGCTCAGGAAAACATTATTTAGATAAATTCGAACCAATTATAACAGCAGTTAGATAGGCACAAGCAAGTCAAGTAGATTTGCACATTTTACTCTTTAGAACTAAGACGAGTCTCAAAATAAATTGCAATAACCTACTGGCTACTGTAATGAAGACTGCAATTCAATGCTAGAAGAAAAAAATACTACAGTTTGATTCGTTTTCTGTTGATGAATGATAAACATCATACAAACCGCAGCTCTCATATATGACCAAAAAACAAAATAATGGTGCCAAAAAAAAAATCCATAGTTTCTAAAGGGCACCAAAAACAAAGTAATAATTGAGGGAAATGTAACCAACAGCATATGTGCTTGAAAGAAATCAAATTCAATAAGGAAGTGAGCAGAGTTTTCTATGGATGGAGGGTGCAAAACTGATGCTCGAGTGTAAATTTTAAAGTCCTGTTATCAATTTCCGAGCACAATGAATGCCAATACCAGCTATTCAGCTTTTTGAAGGCATGTCAAAAGAAGAAGAAGGTTAAATGGTTAAAAATTGGTCATGGAAATAAAATAGAGGAGAAGCAATAAGAGTACTTCCCAAAGTGAGCATTCATTGAAGACAAGAAGGAGGCTTTCAGTAAATTCCAGCTAGGTAAGTACTTGTGCAGCAAACTAAAATAATCTAGGTTTGAACCCTAGAAAGATTCCTTGGGACCAGAACCACATGGCCTTGCAGTGCACTCAAAGATTAGTCTTTGCATAGACCATAAGATGGATAGCTGGGAGACGCCTCTCAGTTTACACTAAAAAATAATCCAGATCAACTAATTTCCTAGGCAAGATTATAGATCGTTGGTGTATCACTTCTGACATCAACTCTAATGAAACATCCCAAACAAAATTTGGTAGCTTTAAATAAATATAAAATACCCTTTTATCCATTAGCATGCAAAAATGCTTTAGGATGTAGAACATTTTGAATTAAAAAAAAAAAACATAGATAAATTGCTTAGAAGTGCTGCCACCACCTGGTAACATAATGTAGGAGCAATCATGAAGTATGTCAAGCTCTTCAAGCTCACATTTCTTTGGCACTCTATATTCAAAGTATTAGGTAGTGCTTCTTCCTATATAACACAGAAGAATATTGAGTACAATGATTGAAAGGGGTTGGGGTGGGGGGGAAGTTCAAAAAACAGTAATTTATCATTCTCAGAAGAAATTATCTCATAATATTATTAGCCCGTTGTAAGAAAGAATGGAGGAGGAAGTAGGTAACCTTTTCAATTGATCTGGCAAGTGCTCTCATATCATAGTTGGTGTGAGCATAAGACACCAGTTTTTAGCCACACAATGCAAGCCAAAAGCATCAATGTAACACCTGACAAAAAAGCAGAATCACACCTGCAAAGAAAGACCACAGATCATTAAGACATCTTCACACTCCCTATCTAGGAAATGGCCAGGCATTCCCATCACAGTAGTTATTTTATTCACTAATTAGACAAATTCACTTCCACCAACATTGTTAGTTGAGGTAGTCAGAGGAGACGGTATCTCTTCTATAAAGCAGGATTCAATTTTTCTAGGAGTAAAAATCTATATGCAACAGGCTGAAAGGGGTAAACGCACGATCCACATCATCCATGAAAAGGACTTAGACTAGACAAAACCTAAAGAACCTCCTACCTGCAATAACAAAAATAGACAACTTCAGTTCATGGACGCATACGACTTAGCACGATCTCATGGCTGGTTAATGGCCTGCAAACGTTACCCTGACATACTACATTGACATATATTAAATGCAAATGAAGGTGGCCATGATTTAATGTTTAGTCATTAATGACCAGTTTCCTTGTATTGCATGACACTCATTAGGGATGTTTGAATTAACACAGGGTCCTAGTCCTTGATGTGTGTATTATGAGTAAAATCCAAAAACGTCGACAAGTAGTAACACCAAGGATTAGGTGGTGGCAATTAAAAGGTGAGAAGCAAGATATTTTCAAGCAAAATCTTTTGGATAAAGGAATTTGGGATTCTCAGGGAAGTGCTAACATCATATGGGAGGATATGGCTAAAAAGATACGGGAGGTTGCAAAAGTAGTTTTGGGAGAATCGAAAGGTTCTGGTCCGAGAGATAAGGAGTCTTGGTGGTGGAATAATAGTGTACAGGACAAAATCAAGTATAAGAAGAACTGTTTTAAAGCCATACATTTGTGTAACAATGAGGAAAATTGGGAGAGGTACCGTATGGCTAAGAAGGAAACTAAGAGAGCTGTGGGTGAAGCTCGTTCCAAAGCTTTTGAAGAATTTTATAAGAACCTTGAGACGAAGGAAGGAGAGCAAAATATTTATAAGATTGCCAAGAGTAGGGAAAGAAAATCAAGAGATCTAGAACAGGTAAGGTGTATTAAGGATGAAGAGGGAAGAATTTTAGTTACAGATGATGAAATTAAAAATAGATGGGAGACTTATTTTTCTAAACTTTTCAATGATGGAGAGGATTCATCTAGTAACTTGGAGGATTTAGTAACTGGTGAAGGAGAACAAAATTTGTCATTCTATCGAAAAATACGTGATAAGGAGGTAAAGGAAGCTCTTAAGAAAATGGCAAATGGTAGAGCTAACGGACCTGATTGTATATCTATCGAAGCGTGGAAATGTTTAGGTGAAGAAGGGGTGAGATGGTTAACTAAGTTATTTAATGTGATTTTACGGTCCAAGAAAATGCCTGATGAGTGGAGGAGAAGTACATTAATTCCTATTTATAAAAATAAAGGAGATATTCAGAATTGTACTAACTATAGAGGGATTAAACTCATGAGCCACACAATGAAATTGTGGGAGAAAGTAATTGAGCACAGGTTGAGATTGGAGACAAGTATTTCTGAGAATCAATTTGGTTTTATGCCAGGTAGATCAACTACAGAGGCGATTTATCTACTAAGGGGATTAATGGAAAAGTATCGTTGTAAAGATAAAGATCTACACATGGTTTTTATTGATTTGGAAAAAGCTTATGACCGTATACCAAGAGAAGTGCTTTGGAAAGCGTTGGAAAAAAAGGGAGTACGGATTGCTTATATTAAAGCCATACAAGATATGTATGAGGGGGTAAAAACTAGTATAAGAACGCCTAGTGGTCAAACAAAGGATTTTCCTATAAAGATTGGACTACATCAGGGATCATCTCTGAGTCCTTATTTGTTCAACTTGATTTTAAATGTTTTGACGGAACATATTCAAGAGGAAATCCCGAAATGTATGCTCTTTGCGGATGATATAGTTCTTATAGCAGAGACAAGAGAAGAGGTTAATTGCAAACTTGAGTTATGGAGGAGGACATTGGAGTCGAAAGGTTTTCGTCTGAGTAGAAGTAAGACGGAATATTTATATTGTAAATTTGGTAAAGGACTATTCGAAAATAATTTCGAAGTGAAATTGGGAGATCAAATTATACCTCAAGTGGAAAAGTTTAGATATTTGGGAGCCATTATTCAAAATGATGGCGAAATCAGTGGAGATATTTCACATAGAATTCAAGCTGGGTGGTTTAATTGGAGAAAAGCTAAAGGAGTTATTTGTGACCGTAGGGTGCCTAATAAACTTAAAGGAAAGTTTTATCGTACTGCTATCAGACCGGCAATGTTATATAGTAGTGAATGCTGGGCTCTAACGGGGCAGCAAGAGCATAAAGTTGGAGTAGCAGAGATGAGAATGTTACGATGGATGTGCGGACATACACGTAAAGATAAAATTCGAAATGAGCACATACGTGAAAAAGTGAGGGTGGCACCTATTGAGGAAAAAATGGTAGAAAATCGGTTGAGATGGTTTGGGCATGTACAAAGAAGACCAAGGGAGGCACCAGTGAGAAGAGTGGAACATATAACTTTGAGTCCGATTAAGAGAGGTAGAGGAAGGCCTAAGAGAACACTCTTGGAAGTTGTTGAACGTGATCTCTTAATTAATAATATTTCTAAAAGCTTAATAAATGATAGAGCACAATGGCGTCTTGCAATCCATGTAGCCGACCCCACCTAGTGGGATAAAGGCTTGTTGTTGTTGTTGTTGTTGTTATTGAATTAACCTGCAACACCAGATGAACCAAACATCAAACTATGGTTTGCCAAAGGGCTTTAAAAATCCCTCCTTAATTACTGCAAGGATTATACTAGATTACGGCAGAGTTCTTTACTTGCAATCCTTACAACAACTAAAACTCGTGCTACCCTAGAAGCAAAATCTTCCTTGATGGACATAAACGGTGTTACCAGTAACATACAGAGAGGATATAATATGAAACTCCAAATGAATTTTAGGCTCCAGGGAAGAATTATACCAACCTGAGGATTACTAAAACCGGATATAACACTGCAGCTGACGTAATGGTTACATGTAGTAGAACAACAACCTGAGATATTTCGGTCCATGTTCCCAAACAAGTAAGTTGGAAAGTTGCATTCCCGAAAAGTATTAAACCATAAAGCATTTATCAGTCCAAACAGACAAGAAAGACAGAGGACAACGAAATCTCTTGTAATAATTTTAAAAAAAAATCTTGAAAAAATCACTTACTGGTTCAGGTACATGCTTCTTTTGCGCCAATTTGTCCACTACAAAGGCTGCAAGAGGAAATACTGCAAGGGAAAGGCTGCAAAAGGAAGCGCTGGTAAGGGTACATAACACCAGATGACAAATCCAACCAAGCAAGGATTCTCGTAAGTCCTAAAATACAGAGTTTATTCATCAAGGAATTAATTGAAGGCATTACCAACACATGAAGAGTGGCCAGTCTCTCAAAGATTTTGAACTAAACCAAAAGCCATACTTAATCAACCAACCGTACTGAAACATCAATAAATAAATGAATGAATGAATAAGAAAGACAAAAGTGAGCTGTCAAACAGACTTAAGCAGAACGGGAAATTTAAATCGCTCATGATGAATAGACTGAATAAATGGAAGAAGCAAACCTTCATTAAATTCTCAATGATAAGCCGACTGTTCACCGCAACAAGCACAACAATACAGAGGTTGAAAAGGCCCGCGTGACTCTGCAATTCGTAGATTATTAAGTGAAGTTTTGCTGAGCCAGTAAAAAAAGCCAATACGTTAAACTAGAAAGAATTTCACCGCCACAACCTGTCTGAAAATTTTGTCGGAGCTGAGAGGGCTTTCCTTGATTCTGCGATGAGCTGGAACTGAAGGACGATAAGCAAATTTAAGTTCGGAAACATCCGGGAACTGGTCTGGAATCGTCTGATCAATCACATTGGGACCTTCCAACTCCTGGTTCCCACCCTCGGTGCCGGACTTGGAATAATTGGAGTCAGAATCTCCGAGAACATCTTGAGCAGAACTCTCGGCTTCAGAAGCCTCAGGCCTAACAGAAGACTCTGACAGGGGCCTTCGACGAAGAGAGGCAAGGTTGAGATCCAAATCGCTGTGAACGGAGGCAGTAGTAGTAGTTGTAGCCGAGGTGCCAACACTTTCAGGCACCTGAGAAACCGCCATGGAGTAGAGAAACCAGACCCTCACACGATCACACCAAAATAAGATAAAATAAAATTTCCGATGAGAATCCTAATGATTAGCTTGATAATGAGAATTGAAAGTGGATGCAGAGAAGAGGAATCTGAAGAATGTCAGGAGAGAGAATATTGAAGAGGGGAATTGTACTTTGACGTAATTGAGAAGATGAGAATGAAACAGTGAACAAATATGAATAAGAAGAGAGGTGATGTAAATTGTGATAGAATAGAACAGTGATCAGGTGAAGCTAGCGCCTTTGGAAGATTGTTTTGGGTTTGATTAGAAGGAAACGAATGAATGAAGGAAAGAAAAGTGGGGGATGTATGTGCATGCAGAATGAGACCGTTGGAAGATTCCTTGTCCTGACCAGAGAGATCTGAGGAGGCACCGCCTCTGCTTGACATGTAACCCTGCCTGCCATTTCTTAACGTATAAGCCGAAAGGACACGACTTCAACTCTGTCCGACTCCCTCCCCAGCCTTGTTTTTTTTTTTTTTTAAATCACTCACTAAATTACATTTAAGAATGGCACTCATTTTTATAATTGATAGACAATAATTGGCTCGAAAAGAAAGTGAATTTTATACAATATTTTCAGTTATATTACCGGTTCTTTTACCAAACTTATTAATTAAATTCATGTTTTGCAATTTTTTCCTAGACATGCACGTAACGTATCATTCGTTTGAAATCACCTTTTGTCTTTTATGGGGGGAAAAAACAAACGGAATTTTATTGAAGTAATTATTATTATTATGATTCTCATATAGATACTCCATGCAATACCAAGCCCGAATGGCAAGGCAGTTTCCATCACACGCGGACGTCATCTCGTACAAGGCCGTGTCACATTTTTATTTTAGTTATTTTTTACGAAAATATTAATTACAGAAAATAATCATAATTAACATATTCCATTAAAGAACATCCGTAGTAGCAATTCTTCAAATCCATACTTAAACTTTTTCGATGACATTAGCTGAATAACACTACCATTTACAGGACTAAACTTTTCGGGTTTCGTGTTACATGAAGAAGGGAAAGATTTTGTATCATCAGATTGAACTATACAGTTGAGACACTCCAAAATAAGAACCAAGGTAATTTGGGCACGTTTTACTGAGAAATGACACTCCAAAATAAGTATTGGTGAGGAATTGTAAAGAATGGAAAAGGAGAGGCCTGTATGTAAAAGTAAGGAGATGCAAGAATTGGAGAAATAAATCATTGAAAAAATCACATCCAAGAACTTCACAAAAAACTTAATTGCAAACAAGAACCAATATAAAATGAATTTTTGTTAAAATAAAATTATAAACTTATTTTTTTAAAATAAAACTTATTATTAATCCTTATCTGTAAATAATTTTCTTGCCAAGTTGACTCTCCTCCCTTAATCATTGGAAAACATTCAATAAACAAATAAATCACTGGAGAAGCTGGAGGATTTCATGTAAGCATTCTTGATTGGATATGACTAAGGTAGCTAGAGTCTAATCTACCATGCAACAGATGATATTGATTGAATCATTGAATTTTTAGAAGTTAAAAATGCAGCAATCTGCCTCCCTGGAGTTTACAAGAGCAAGTAGAGCGTGCTACCTGCTATTATGTGTGATTGGGGGGAGGAATTTCTGAGTTCTGATAAATTGCAATTCATTGCTTGCGATTTTTTATGACCGTCACCATTTCTTTGCCAAATTTTGTATTTATAGCGATCTTTATGTCATATAAATTAAATCAATTATTTCTTTGTTCTTTATGAATTGTGTGAATTTCTGACATCTTACAAACCTAGAAAGATTCTGATACAATATATTTTCCACTTAGCTTTATATGCAATTGAGAAAGAGTGGGCTTTGGGAGGTTTAATTACTTCCATGTCCCGTGCATCGCATGCTAGTTAAAATTAAAATTAATAATAGAAACCAAATTCATCTAAATTTTTAGAATCCGAGAAATTAATAATAGAAAAACTGGCTACAAGAAATGTGACGCAATGGCCATACACCAAATTGCGGCAACCAAGGGATTCCACAGTGCAAGCAATGTCTTATCACTTAGACAACATATAAGTTAAATCAATTACTAGGTCTATTAAACAAGGTTTAATCTTTAAACTGGAGATCTAACAAAATTGGAAAAAGGGGGAAAAACAGCATTACATGATACTTACCAAAGAGAATCCAACTTTTCTCTGATAATTTTTCAGATAGCATCTTTCCTCTACTAATGATGGACAGCAAAATCCCATCATAGAAGTTCAGCAACATTAGATGGCAGCTCCTCAATTACCACATTATAAAATCTCTGGATATCAAACAGCATTCTTTCATCGTCCCTTGTCACAAAATTGATTGCAACACCTTTCCTACCAAACCTTCCGCTCCGGCCGATACGATGGAGATAGTTCTCAGGCTGAGTAGGAAGATCATAATTAATAACCAATGACACTTGCTGGACATCAATACCACGAGCCAAAAGATCAGTTGTTATTAAAACACGAGATGATCCAGAACGGAATTCTCGCATAATGATATCCCTGGTATTCTGGTCCATGTCTCCATGGGTTGCTGAAACTGTGTGGTCCCGGCTTCGCATCTGGTCAGTGAGCCAATCAACCTTCCTTCTGGTGTTCACAAAAATGACACTCTGAGTGATGGCCAATGTTTCATAGAGATCACAGAGTGTGTCTAGCTTCCATTCCTCCCTCTCAACATTAACATGAAACTGTTTTATGCCCTCCAAGGTTAGCTCATCACGCTTCACAAGAATTCTAACAGGTTTGTTCATAAACTTCCTAGTGATCTCAAGAGCCTCAGGAGGCATTGTAGCAGAAAAAACTCCCACCTGAATCTGGGACGGAAGTAGCTGGAATATATCATATATCTGATCACAACAACAACAAGGTTAATGCAGTCATACAAATAAATTGGACTTCTACCCCACAAAAATTCCTGCAGTTGCACCGAGGCAACTATGACTAGCAATTGAGCATGCATAATCTTCAAGATAATGTAAATACAAAAGCCATTCATAGAGCAAAAGAAATTTTAAATAAAGAGAATAAAATATACATTGAGGAATAATTCATCGGCATAGCACATAGAAATCTTAAACAGGAATTAGTCTAAAATAAACAAAATTAATTTAAGTAAACACCCAAACCTGCTTAAAGCCCTATAAAGTAACTCAAGGAGTTACTTTTGATTGAGTCAGAAGCACGTTTACAAGGTTTCTAAGAATGAACCCATATGAATTTGCATATACAAATACAAAAATATGCAGACACGTAATATTTAAAAGTATGCACAAATCACAAATGACAAAAGAATCACTTGGGTCTGAAAATGAGAAAGAAATTATGATTATAGAAGTACCTGATCTTTGAAACCTCGAGAAAGCATTTCATCTGCCTCATCCAAGACAAACATCCTGATGTTCTCTGGCCGAAGTGACTGCCTGCGCAGCATGTCAAATACACGACCAGGGGTACCAACAACAACATGAACACCACTAGATAGAATTCGTTGGTCTTCACGAACACTAGTTCCTCCCACACATGCATGCACCTTTACACCAAGATAGTCTCCAAGCGCCCGCATAACCTTCTCAATCTGCTGAGCAAGCTCTCGAGTTGGTGCTAATACCAAGGCCTGGCATTCCATCAAACTGTAGTCGAGCTGCTGCAAAATCCCAGAGCAGAATGTTGCTGTCTTTCCAGTTCCAGACTGAGCCTGTTGAATAACATCAAGTCCCTTGCAGAAGGGAACTATTCCCCTTTGCTGAATAGCTGACGGCTTCTCAAATCCTATCGTAAAAACCATACTAATTTAATAATGTAAGCACTCGACTATGCAGCTGTGACAAACATGCACGCACACAACTATACAACCAAGATTACAACAGAAAAAAAAAAAAAAAGGGTGGCAATACATACACATGATGCATGTTGCTTCTATGTAGGATGTAAAAATTTAACAAGCTCTGCTATTCATAAATCATGAACCTTGTGGCTCATTTCTTAGATTACATACAAATGCACAGGACCCACACTAGTTGATTGATTGATTTATTGATAATAAAGAATCATATTAACACCATGTCCATAGTTAGTGATATCCTCCGTACATTTGAAAAAGCAATAACCCACCGTAAAGGACACGAATAAAGAGTTTCATAATTACACAGTAAATTACAAAGGGAAAATACAATGGACATTTACAGCATTATATAATCAAGTTCATGGTACTGAACTACAATAAAAGCTATTTTTGGACAAAATTAACATTAAGTGCAGAAGGGATAAAATCTACCATATGCATAAATGCCTCTGAGAAGATTCTCTTGCAAGCCCATAGCATCAAAACTATCATAAACTTCATCATAAGATGTAAAGAAGTCCTGCCCATCAGTTGTAAGCCTGTAAACATTAAGTCATCGAACCAAGCAATAAACTCAGCACCTAGCTAAAAGCCTAAAATATTATTGTGCTAAGAAAACGACAATTGGGAAACAACAAAACAAGAGCAATAATTCCAATAAGAAGGCCATTACTGAAACCAGATAGCAACCTATTAATTTGAAATTTTGAACAAGTTAAAGTTCTTACAGCTCACTCATTTTGGAGTCATATTGACGAGCATCAAATTGTGAGCTATCGGGTGCTACTCCAGCCATGACTGCAGGAAATAAAGAACAGTTAAACGCGAAATTTATTCAGCAATTGAAATAAATAAACTGGGAGTAGATAAAAAAGAAACCAATTCACATAAGAATAATGTTGGAACAAAAACAACAAAATGATCTAAAAGAAAAGGAATTGTTTTTGAGGGTGGGGGGATTTGACCGTGGTACATTTGAAAATAAAATATTTCACAAACATAGCCACGTTTCTCAACGAACAAACATCATTTTTTGAACTCAGTCATCCATAATCCAAACAATAACTTGGAATTATGAGAAGTGTACCCGACATGCCCGGGCATCAAAAAACAGATCCAACCGCTAAAACCTCAATAATAACTTAAAAGAGATAAGATAAAGATGGAAGGGAAATTTGAAAAAATTCAAACAACTTGCGCCATGACGGAGCAATCCAACTATTGAGGACGGAATTATAATAAAGACCTTTTGGATGACGAGGGATTTTGTATCGAAGAAAAAGCCAAGAGGGGACGACGGTGGTATTATGTGGCTAATAGAAGAGTGGAATTGATTCAGTAAAGCAATTAGGGTTTCCCAAACTCCTCGGATCTACGCCGCGGAGTCGAGGAAGTTGAACGAAGAGCGATTTGCTAAAGCAAGAGTACAACAGTTAAGCAAGTTAACCCAAAAGCACACAAAGTAGGGCTGCACAAAGGACTGGACAGCACTGGACTTCACCCTAACCCGAAGTCCGGTCTCTTTTATGAAAAAGACTGGG